TATTACAAAGATTATCTTCTCTTGAAGAAAAAGCTTGAATGTCCTGCACAGTTTATGAAGTGATAGTTTTCCATTAACAAGAATAAAATTCTTTTTTCAATGTGGCTCAGATTCATTTTGTGCTGGCAGGCAGTGTAGAGCCCTTCAATCTCCCTCTGAGCTGGAAGTGACCTTGAGGGAAGAGCAGATCACAGATTAATAGAATCCAAGGCTGAAGCCTTATATATGTATTTTATCTTCTGACATTAATTACTGATTTAAAAAAGCCAGAAAACTGTGATTATAGTATGTCTCAAATTGATCCTTAGGTATGTGGATTCCTTTTTTTTTTTTAAATTCTTAAGCATCTCTAATAAACACTGTGGTATATAAGAAGGCTCAATCATTACTGGGGAATGTGAACAGACTGAAATTCTGTGAATAAGGCCTCGATATTCTCAATATGCTAACAAACCCTTCAAAAGTAAGCACACTACTGCCAAGAGCCAAACTATCTGACCTAACAACTATGATTATTAACAAAGTTTTGTTGTAATATACCCACACTCACTTAGTATTTTCTATGGCTGGTCTCTGTAATAGCAGACTTGAGTAGCTCCAATAGAGATCATAAAGGCTTGTAAACCAGAAATATGTACTCTCTGGCCCAAACTATACAGATTTCTAAGAACTCTGAAACTTGTGTACAGATTGCTAGCTTATTTTCAGAGCTATGTTGACTCATATAAAAGGAAAGAAGGGAAAAGGGAAGGAGAAAGAGAAGAAAGAAGAAGAGGAAGAAGACATGGGAAAGGGGAAGAGGAGAGAAGAGAAAGAAAAGGAAGGAGGAGGAAGAAGAGGAGCAGCAGCAGCAGCAGCAGTGGCAGCAGCAGTGGCAGTGACAGCAGATTAAAAAGACTTACAGAATCACGGATAAAACTCAGTGGCATAAGTACCTGCTGGCAAGCTCAAAGTCCTGAGTTCCATTCCCAGTACAAAAAAAAAAAAAAAGTATAAAAGACTTATAAAACAACTTCATTGGGCTAAGTTATTTGGTGAGTATTGTGGTGGAAAAGGGAGAGATTCTGACATCTGTGCCACAATAGCAAAAGTCATAACTGATATCTCCACGGGGTATTTGAAGATAGGTTGCAGAATTTGGCAATTCTTAGCAATCATGACCTCTAAATTTTAGCCTGAGCTACACAATGGGTTTCATGCCAGCCTTAACTATCTAGTAAGACCCTGTCTCAGTAAAAAAACAAAGAAAAAAAAACTAAGACCATAAGGAAACTCAGAACTACATGAGTATACAACATAATAATAAATGTCTCATAGCACCTTTCCAAGGTAAGAGCAAGGGAGTAATAGCATTTTAGAAAAACAGAAATTGAAATGATTAAATAAGGGTATGTGAAAGTTCCCTGCAATACTCTTGAAAGTTTTCAGTGAATTTGAAATCATAACACAATTAAAAAATTAAAACAATTTTAAATGTTTGCACTTAAAAGGAAATATTTCAGGGCCGGGGAGATGGCTCAATAGAATAAGTGCTTGCCTGGCAAGCTCAAGGACCTGAGTTCAATCCCTGGTTCTGCCACAAAAAAAAAAAAAGGGAAATACTTCGATTACCTTGACAAACAACCCTAAAAAACAACTTCCATGGTGGATCTGTAATACCTACAAACCAGTATAGGGAAGGGTCTATAGGGTGTTTAGGGTCTCACTATTAGATGGGACTCATAGTGATCTGCCTGTTTACAGCCTCCCAAGAGCTGGGATTACAGGTGTGCGACACCATGCCCAGTCTCAATTGCCATCTCAACATGCCCCGGGGGCGGGGCCGGCACAGCAGGCCCAGGGATCAAACCCCTGGCCCCTGAACCTGCTTGCAGGCGCTTTAATCTGCTGAGCTATTTGGCCCTCATGCATACTTGTAAAATTCTGCATCCTAAAATCTCAGCTTACAAATTTCACCCTTAGACTTTATCTTATCTTATGTCATGGAAAACAAGGTAGCTCATAATTAAAAGGATCAAGGGCATGTAAGATACCAAAGAAGACAAGAATAGTGAGAAGGGTAAGATGGGAAAAGAAGTGATGAGGCGAGGAAAAGATAGGAGGGAAGGGTGATACAAACAGAGGCCTTGCTGATCAACAAACGAGATAAACTTGTTCCAAATGGTTACAAGTCTAACAGTCCTATTTGATCTTTCCTTGCAGCATAGGAAGCAGATGTACCCGGAACACTGGTACATATTTTACATGTGCATATATTTAAACAAGAAATATGAATTATTTTCTTAAAATACAAACACTAAACAGAAATTATGCTAGCTGAAAAAAGTGCCTAGAGAGCAACATACATGCATGTTTGTTAAATATAGAAACTAAGCATAATGAGAATCATTATCTCCAGTTTCCAAGGATACCAGGATAAGCACTACTCCTAAATTGCCGTTCATTCAACAAAGGGCACAGAGCAATTTATATTCAGGGTCATCCCTGGCTGACAGCTGCTGTCGCAGGAGGATCAGGGTAAATTACCCTGTTTGTTTAATTCTATTTGTTACCTACCACCTCATAGCTCCTGACCTCCTCTGGTCCCAATCCTGGTCAATATTTTATATGAGAAATTTGAAAAACGTGGTTATAAATAGCATCTCTCAAGAGGAAAAAAGGTCCATAAAGAGAAGGGTGGCATGAGATGTGATTAATCCAGGGAGTGGGGAGGGGGTAGGCATTTTGATTTTCTTTGTCTGGGAAAAGCAGAAGAGGTTGGTTTTGTATTTCACTTACACAGTGTCTAGAAGGGAAACCATGCAGCTAATGTCAACTTCCAACCCAACTAAGGCTACAGGAGGCTTCTAGAACTTAGCACAAGCCACACTGCCTACACTGCCACAGTCTCCACAGTCAAATTCATCTTCTACTTGTTCTGTCCTCTAAACTCTTCTATCTGTATGTTTCATAGTGAGTGCTTCCTTCATATTTTTTATAGCAATAAAGAAATATAAAAACTTTCTGTCAACTCAGGAGATATTGCATCCCAGTCACTTGTTTATTCATTCAAGACGACTTGCTGACTGCTTTCACACTGGTGTGCATTTGTGCCTGGCCAGGTGAGTAGCAACAAAAAGGGGTAGCAGATGCTACTGACGCTCACCAGGCAAGTATCAACTACACACAGTGCGGAGAGGTGGTCTCCCTCTTAATCAAATTGCAACCTACAAAAATACTATGTAGCTTTAGGGACCTTTAAACTTATTTTAAAATCACAGTAAATATAAATAAAATACATTTATGATATAATAGCAACTTGGTAACTATGTAATTCCAAACACACCACGTGTTCTCAATACAATAAGACCTCCTAGGTGGAACCTAGAACCCGTACCTGGCAGCAGGGAGGAGACAGTCTGCCTTCAAATGCTCCCTCCTGATGGGTAAGGGGCCCTGTGTCTGCTAAGCTGCTTAGCTTAATGTGATAACACACAAGAATAAACAACTGCGATAATGAACACTTGGGACTTCTCTGCTTTGCACCAGTTACGCCAATTGACACTGTTCACTGTTTTAAAGTAAAAGAGTAAAATATAGTAAAGGCGGCTATAGTTATATAACATATACAATATGTATCAATAAGACAAACTAATTTAATGTTAGCTATTGGTGGGAAAAGGCAATATGTGTCTTCCTACATAAGCCTCTCTCATACATTATACATGACCGGAATTCCACATATCTAGATGTGCTGTCATGAACGTGTCAGTGCAGCCCGATCTTCTCTTTAATACATTCATTTTTTTAAAAAAATTAAAAGATTGTTCCTAAATCCAACAAAAATAGAAAAAATTAAAAACTACATAAAATGAGAAGTTTCTCATTTCGCTTAAAAGTCATTTCAGTAGCAATTTTGGTGTATTATTTTGACACCTTTTCACATGGGCAACATTTTGAATCAAGATGGCTTCAGACTAGAATATACATCTTAATCTTGAGGCGTCGATAATGCCTAAATTGCAAATCCTTAAACATAGCTTTAATCTTCTTCCCAGTCCTGCCCAAGGACTGATTCTTGTAGGGCAAAAACAGACGCGTTGGTAGGTAGATTGCCAAGAATTGAAAGCATTCCCAAGTCATGGCTGAAAGGTCATCCACAGTTTTAACATTTTTTGATAACCTAGATCAGCTTTCACAAATCTCTGAAGACAGGAGCCAGCTTACATTAAGCATCATAACTGTGCTTCTTACTTGTGCATATTCAAATTGAAAGAGAAAAGAAAGCCTTTTGGCCTTGAAAGTACCCTACCCATCAATTCAGCAGCCTAGAACTTGGACGGATCTACTTGGCTGCTACTCTCCACCCTCCCCCTTCTTCCTATTATTCTAACATCTAAATTATGGTCCTAGGTATTGCATATAATATCTTCAAAAACACTTTCTAGTAGCTCACCCCTCTAGGTCTCCTAAAACTAGAAAGTGTCCAACTGGCAATCTTTGTTTGCATTGTAAAGGAAGCTAAGACATCCCAGGGCGCTGTCACCCACCCTTAAAAGGTGCATCTGTGGCACTCGGAAAGGGATCCTGCCCTGCCACCAGAGGCCAGGCCAGCATCTCTGCGCGGGTCTGGCGCAGTCACGGCCCGGCTCAGAGCCCTCCAGCCCCCACCGCAGCCTCCTGCGCCGGAGGCCACAGTCGTCCCGCCGCGGTCCGCGCGTCCAGGGGGTGTGGCTGGGCGGTGGCGGCTTGCGGAAGACAGAGGGGTGCCCGTCTGGAGTGGAGGTGACACCGTACCCTGAGAGTTGCGAGGGGAGGCAGGGGTAGCGCGAGTGTAAGGAGATGCCCCAGGCTGTTTTCGCCGCGACCAGTGGAGGCGCAGCCGGGGCGCCCCGGGGTGGAGCGCGGGGAGCGCGGCGCGGCAGGGCCCCCGGGTCCCGGGCGGAGCGCGCGGGCTGCCCGCGGCGAGGGGCGCGCGGGGGGCCGTGGGCGGGACGGGCTCCCTCGGGAGGGGCGCTCACCTATGCACAGCTGGATGGCGTAGGCGTAGTAGGACCAGCCCAGCAGCAGGCTGATGAACACCACCGGGATCCAGTACAGCACCCGCCGGCACCGCCGCCTGACGCTGCCCGGGCCCGAGGGCGCCATCTTCCAGCCGCAGCCGCCTGCCC